TTCATCTTTGGGATCTTGTACCTTTACATGAGGTATCGTAGTTCTTATTTTTTCCCCATACCCATGCCCTCCCTTCACTCACTCCACCCATCCCTATTTACAAAGACTGTTTCAATTTTTAAGGAAAAATATAGCATGATACCACTTATACTAAATTTCTGGAAGAGTCTAAATTTCAGAGGCAAAAGAGAAGTCAGCAGAGACCTGGAGGAGAAAAAATAGGGAGCTCTTAATAACTAATAAAACAATTCAATAATTATTTAAAATTAAAATTAAACTGATAATATTTTAATAATAATAAATTTTTAAACCAATTTAAAACTGAACAGTTTAATAACTGATTAAAACAGTTTCTGTTTGGGGTCATAAAACACTTCTGGAAATGGTGCTGGTTGCACAACATGGTGAATGGAGGTAATGAATGCCACGAAACTGTACATTTAAAGTGGTGAAGGGCCAGGGATTTAACTCAGTGGTACCGCTGCCTGCTTGGAAAGTACAAGGTGCTGAGTTCAATCCCTGGAACAAAAATAGATAAATAAAGTGGTGAAAATGAGAAATTGACTGCTTTAGTACACTTTAAAGGGGTAAATTTTATATGGGACATCTATTCCAATAAAGCTGTTAAAAAGAGGACTACTTAAGTCTAGTAGAACAAAGTGCATGAATTTTTAATAAAATGAGAGTGGAGGAAACTTTCCTGTTGCTCAAAATCCAGAAACAAAGGATAAAATACAATTAAGTTATCTAAAAAGTTAAGAAACACATAAAATATGTATAAGTGTGAAGCCAAACAAAAAAGTAGAAAAAGTCTTGCAGTGTATATAAAAATATGCTAATATCCTTCATATAGTATGCACCTGAATTTGAAGGATTTTTTAAAAGACCAGCAGCTCAATTGATAAAATATGTGAACATACAGTATAGAAAAAATTGCAAATAACACTTAAACATACAAAAGATGCTTAACCTTGCCCGTAATTACAGAAATCAAATTAAAACTGTAAGGTGATCTAATTTTTCACCTACTAGATTGACAAAAGGCCAAAACTTTGACAACATTCCATTGGATTTGGACAGAAAATCCTCTCATTCATTGCTGTTGAGAATGGAAAATGGTAGGAAAGAAATCTGACCATCTTTTGCAAAATTATACATGCATTTACTGTTTGGTCCAGCAATTTAACTTTATTTCTAAGACTTTATACAATGGTACATGCACAATGCATGTAACTTGTTTACAAAAGCAAAATAGTTAAAAGATCCCAAATGTCCATCAGTTGAAGGTTAATTGAAGAGACTGTGGTTATAAAACAACAATGTGCCATACAGCTATGAAAAGCAGAAAAATGGGAAAGGAAGACTTCCAGTTAACCTTGGTCGGAGGGTGTTTGCATGGTGAAGTTTTTACATGGCTATCCAGAAGCAAATCACCTTATGGGATTGACTGAGAATATATTTGACTTCTTTAGGTTGGCCTTAAGTTATAAGGAGGTTCCAAAACTCAGGAAAGCTGTCAATTCATCCTGACTATTTAGGACGCCTTGCCACAGTGGTTCTTGTTTGACTCTCTGGACTACTTGCTACAAATAGTACAGTATTAGTCTGTCTGTGTTTGTGTATGTTGGGAAATTTTCATAATAAAACACTTAAAATATATTATTAGACAAGGAAAGGTTGAAG